TTGATGCTTTTGAACTGTGGTGTTGGAGAAGACTCTTGAGAGTCCCTTGGACTGCAAGGAGATCCAACCAGTCCATCCTAAAGGAGATCAGTCTTGGGTGTTCATTGGAAGGACTGATGCTGAAGCTGAAACTCCAGTACTTTGGCCACCTGATGTGAAGAGTTGGCTCATTGGAAAAGTCCCTGATGCTGGGAGGAATTGGGGACAGGAGAAGAAGGGGACGACAGAGGATGAGATGGCTGGATGGCATCACCGACTCGATGGACATGAGTTTGAGTAAACTCCGGGAGTTGGTGATGGACAGGGAGGCCTGGCATGCTGTGATTCATGGGGTTGCAAAGAGTCAGACACGACTGAGCAACTGAACTGAACTGAACTGAAGGCAAGATTACATGAACATTTTGCATGTTATATTGTAATGACTGGTTTATGTGTGTGCCTACACAGGAACCCCTATGGGGTGTAATATCTTCAGTGATAAACTTTATACTGTGTTACTCAACTTTGCATTCATACCATCCAGTACAGTGACTAGAATCAAGGTGAACTGTAGTAAATGTTTATTAAACTGCAGGGGCTCTGTATAATTAAATAAGGATAAATTAAGCATGAGGTATTCTAAGCTATGGATGTCACTGGTATTTGACATCATTTGAGTTCATATTTAAATATTTTTATTCCTCTGCATGTATTAATGTTCAGAAAATAACTTGGGAATGTCACATATTGATGGCAATCTTTTCAAATGTTTGTATTTACTTCTTTGGTCTGGTAAATGGAGTCTATTAATCACAATTTTGGTATTTTTGGTAGCTCAAAATTTGATAGTGTTTTAATCTTCATTTTCCACACAATTATTATTTATTTTCTGCCAATAGGTGAAGATATCAGAGACGAAAGTTTAAATAGACTATGTGAAAGTTAATACTGTTTTCTTACTAAATCTATGATAAATTAGTTCCTTTGGTTATAAATTCTAAAATTCACATTTTTACTATAGAAAATTTAATTAGAAAGCAAAGTCCACATTTGGAATATAAAGAATGATTATATTTTTAAAATCACAGTTGAGGACTGGTTTTTAATTTTATTAAATGCAATATTTTACCACTCATGCTGCTAATTTCTCTCTTTTGTTTCTCAAGTGATATGATTTTTTTAAATGTTGCTTTTAATCATGCTTCCCAGATGGTGCTAGTGGTAAAGAACTCACTGGCCAATGCAGGAGACATAAGAGATGTGAGTTCTATCCCTGGGTTGGGAAGATCCTTGGAGAAGGAAATGGCAACTGACTCCAGTATTCTTGCGTGGAGAACTCCATGGACAGAGGAGCCTGGTGGGCTACATTCATGGTGTTGCAGAGTGGGACGCAACTGAGCAATTAACACTTTCACTTTCACTTTATAATTATCTTTTTTTTTTTTTTTTTTTACCCTTTGAAGGATTTTACTCTTGGAAGGACCTTTCTTGATTGGTCACTAAGAGTTGGACACGACTGAGCTACTTCACTTTCACTTTTCACTTTCACACTTTGGAGAAGGAAATGGCAACCCACTCCAGCGTTCTTGCCCGGAGAATCCCAGGAACTGGGGAGCCTGGTGGGCTGCTGTCTATGGGATCACACAGAGTCGGACACGACTGAAGTGACTTAGCAGCAGCAGCAAGGCAAAAACAAAGAAATGAAATTAACAACAAAAAAACCTTAATTAAAATGTGTTTATGTATTGTGTACACTTTTGGTTAGTTTTGCCTTTATAATACCATCAAAGTTTTGCAAGTTTGGTTCTGTTTTTCTCTAAAATGAAATTTACTACTTAACTCCTAGCTTCAAAAGAGAAGTGATACCTACATCATTATTTACAAATGGATTTGCGATTTGGGATTAATATGAAGGGTTGTTTGTAAACAAACATGGCTTTCAGTTGCATATTATAGAATGCAGACTTTATCAGAGAACATCCCAGGAAGAAAGTTTCTTTCTCTCTCCCTTTCACTCTTTCTGTTTGATTCACCTCTGAGTGTTCAATTTGTAAAAGTACCAATCAAATACACAGTATTCAATAAATATTTGTTATTTCAGTCATCATGTTACAGAAAATGGATTTGTATATGTTATCTTAAATTTTATTTTCATTGTTGAAAAGACCTCAGGTGATATAGATGAACAAGCTTGTTAAATTATCAAGGGGTTTTGGTTTTGTTTTCATTTTTAAACAGATGATAATTAAAGAGCAAGGCAATTAAATATAAGGTCAGTTCATTTGACACAGTGAAAATAACTTTAATGTGCTTAAATTTAGCTAATGCTATAGTTAAGTCTGCGAACATTTCAGGGGTTGTGTATCTTCAATAAACTTTGTACCCTTTTTTGTTCATAAAGAATGACTATATTGCAGATAACCAAATAGTCAAGCTTTGTTTTCAGCTTTTTCTTTTAAAACAAAAATTTGTTTTTAATATTCCAATGTTTTTCATTTAACTAAAAGTCATTATTACTTTTATTTGCAGTGCAAAATTATAAAAGATTTTGTGAGAGTAATAGCTGTCCCCATATTTTATTCAGGAAATCTCATTTTTTTCAAAGGATATTTGTTTGATTTGTAATCTAGACATTACTAGAAATTTTATATTATAATTAAATTGTGGTACTTAAATACAGGGAATGCTTTTCATAATCCTGCCCATGCACTAAAATAAATTAATCTATACTTGGCACTTTACAAATATTTTAAAATTTAATAATTTTAAGAACACTGTAGATGTTTTATTCCAATATTACAGATGAGAAACTGAAGTTCAGAATATTTAAGTAACTTTGCAAATATGTTGCTCTTGAAAAGTGGCAGAGCCAGGATTTAAATAAAAATATGCCCCATTGTAAAGATTTTACCTTTTGCTGCAATACTGTACTACTTTTCTCACAATGCTTCCTGCTGCTTCCATTTGAGTCCAAGGCTGTTTATTGATCTTCTGTTATGTACAAAATGTGACAGTCTGGTTTGACTTTTGTCTCTGTGCTTCATGACACCTGAAGACATCTAATTCAACCCAAGTCTCTCTTTGAAGTCAAATTACTTCTTTGCCCTTTCTTCTTCTTCTTTTGTTTTTTTTTTTTTTTACTGGCCATAAAACAAAACTTTAAGTTATATTTCCCGTGATTTTTTTTCACTATACTTCTAATTTTTTTAAACAAAATTGTTTCCTATTCTTAGACCAATATCCCAAGTTAACTTTTAGTCTGAAATTTTCCTTCACTGACCACAATTATGTGACTTTAAAAAAAAATTTGTGTGTCAACCAACAGGTGTTTTGAAGAATATCAGGTCAATAAATGAATAGAATCCATAAATGTGAGGACCATAAGAAAAATCAGAAATCCTGACTTCTTATCTTGAAGAAATGTGTGGAATAAAGATACTTAGAAGTTAAATGAATGTCTTAAAATCAGGCATCTGATTAGGGAGCTCAGATATTAAGACTCTTGGGCTTTCATTACATATTTCTGCAATTCCTTCAGCCAGCTTTCAGTCCTGTCTGCATGTTTTTTACTTGACTTCTACAACTGCTTATTTTGTTTTCTTTATTTGGCTATTCATCCCCCCAGAGACACATACTCCTTGAAGTCATGGCTTGGCTTCATTATCAAGTCCTGGTATGATTTTGAAGGGTCTCATGGAATATTTCGTAATTTATATGATATCAGATGCTTCTGAAGAGCATTACAAATGAAAAAGCTACATATTAGCTATTTGTGGTCCTTGAACAATGCTGTTAACATCAACCCATGGTTTTTTTCTTATGAGATCAGAAAGCTTGTATACAGTCTTAACTCTATGCATAAAGCAATTAAACTCTTTGAAAAGAGACTGCTGCAAACAAAGAAAGTATCAATCAGCCAAAGAAAAAATAGAAAAATAATTTTCTTAGTTGATCTTTGAAATGCATAATACCTTGTTTTCCTATTCACAATACTGGGAGTTGATATTAGCGTTAAGATCAGTGACAAAACACCTTGATTAATAACTTCTACTCCAATATCATTCTAAAATAAGAAAATATGCCTTTGTCTAATTTGATGACAGGAAGGATAATCAGTAATCAGTGACAGCATTTAGTGACCAAATAAACATTAACTGGACAAATAAAGAAATTTAAAAATATTTATTTCTATAGGTGATATACAGGCTTATATTTTACAGTTCAACTAAAATAACATTTGCCAAAACCAACTGTATGGCACCTTTAAATACCAACATTTACAGACCATGCCACACACATTTATAGGAAGATATATATAACTATTAGCATCATCTTATTTGAATAATATAGTATTAAATTATTCAGTGAGATGAGATTTGGAACAAAAACATGATCAGTGGAAGAACACTTTCTGAATATAAGCCAGTGTGGCAGATGCCTGAGTTCCCAGGGCCTTGGACTCTTTGCTCTTTTATTTCTTCTCATTCCAAAAATGAAGGCTCCTCGGGGGATAAACCTCTTCTGGTCGTTATTGAAATGACGGACTACCCACTGTTTTGGTGGGAAGTTCCCCTCACAGATGAGAAGATGCTCCTCCCTGGAGCTATTGCATCATCTGGTCATGTTTCTGTGACCAGCAGTGTGGCTCTGTGTGACTGGGTGAGCCCGTGCTCACTTTGGAAGGAGCCCAAATGTGGATCACATTATCAGTGATCAACCTAGGTTATGTATGATCTGGAAGTTCGGTAGAGATGAATGTGTCCTCCCAGAAGTTTCTGGTGCTGGTTTATAACTAGAGGTGATAGATTGCTCTTCAAGAGCCAGGATTAGTAACCCAAGAACAAATGGTCATCCTCTCCCATTATGAGAACTGGATTGCTGCTATACTTTCTATAATCAAGCCATAGAGAAGCTTCATCATTATAGAAGTGTCATAGACAATACATGTCTATCTGAGCATTGTATAGTCTGCCTCTAGAAAAAATTTCAAACTCAATAATTGGTCAATCTGTTGACAATTTTGCAAAAGTTTAACCTTTACTTAACTTTACAATCTTGTACAACATTGTTATTACTTCCTTATGCCTTTTAATTAAGCAGCTTTCTGACTATGAATGAAATGAAGTTGAATGGAAGCCTTTACAGAATATCTTGGTAGATATAGTATATATTGTTAGACAAATAACAGTTTTGATTTGCATTTTTTAAATCATTTCAAATGACGCATTTATTTTAAAAGACATACCCATTTGTTAACATAAACATGCTGCATCTTAGAAGCAAATGAACAAGCTTATGAATAAAATGAGCAAAAATAATTTTCTTTATAGCCAAATGGCAACATCTGACTTCGCATCCTGGAATTCATTGTAGGTAAATGAACGCGATCGTCGTCTAAGATTTGTTGGTCTCTGTGATCTTCCTTCTGTCAAGTCTAAATAGATGTCAGATTTCAGAAAACGCATGTAACTGTCTTGTTCCATGAGCTGATATACTCTGCTTTGGGCAACATCAAAACTGTGGACGGTGGGTTGGGTGATGCTCTTGGAGATGATTTCTTTGGTGTGAAAATCAAGGTTAACCTGGATAATAATAACAACAAAATGGTAATTACAGTCCGTCTTCTTAAGTAAACACATTGAGAAACAAAAGTACAGGACTGATTCCAGGTCAGAGAGGGCAGACTGTGCTTGGATGCCAGGTGAGTTTCCTGTTGTGGGCCTAGGAATCCAGTGATTCATTCTGGGACGTCATTTCATCTGACTCTTCTCTTCCTGTGAGCCTGTTCTTTCTGTCCCTGCTAATGCAGCATCATGGACCATTGAACTGGTACATACCCTAGAGATCATTAGATTCAACTCATTTTCAAAGTGGAAACTAAACTTTGTAGAAATTTAATTATTTTGCGTGAAGGTTAACAGTGTGTTTGGGACATATTTGGGATTTCAGTGTGAGGCTTTTGCTATATTTCAATGCTTTTTTCATTTTATTATATACCTATAAGTATTCATGTGTTGAAAATGCCTATCATCTTTTAAAGACATAAAATCTTTAAGGTTTTTTATCAAAGCACTGATGACATATTTGGTGGTAAATTTTTAGTTTTCAGGTAGGTTTCTTCCTTTTCCTTGATGGGTAACACCACATAACCAGCTGCCTTTGTTTGCATGTGTGCATACTCAGTCACTCAATCCTGTCCCATTCTTTTAAGACCCCATGGACTATAGCCCACCAGGCTTCTCTGACTATGGGATTTCCCAGGCAAGAATATTGGAGCGGGTTGCCACTTCCTCCTCCAGGGAGTCTTCCCAACCCAGGGATCAAACTTGAGTGTCTTTCATCTCCTGCATTGGCAAGCGGATTCTTTACCACTGCGCCACCTGGGAAACCCTGCTTTTGTTTACCTGTGTATAAGTTTGGCCTTGGGGAAAACAGGATAATACATTGAAACACAAAACAGATTGAAACACACTGAAACTAGGAAAATAAGTGTCATTTCATGCAAAATGATGTCTATATAGGCAATGCTACTTGGTGGACAGTACCAATTTATATTCAAGCAGAAATCTTAACAGTGACAGACTACAAGTTCTATCCTTCAGTGAAAAGACTCTCTTTATTGAGCACATACTAGAAATATAGAAACTCTAATTCATATTCAAGGATAATCAAGTAATACTTGCTAGTTTATTAGCCATTTTAGTAATTCTTTGATACAGTTACCTAATACTGAGCTTGCAATCAAAAAAGAAAAAAAATCACAATTGCTTTTTCACTTGAATTCATTAGCACATTAGGTTTAGCTTATCTTTCTATTATGAAATTTTCTTTTCATCTATCTTAAGGTATGGAGATGATAATTATAGGGCAACTTAAACTTTTTACAGGTAGGTGAACTAACATTAAAATGGTGTATGATACAAGCTTCTTGATTTCTCGTACCTTCACCATGTGTAAACATGCTTAGTTTCTACAAGAGGTTACTTGTGCTGTGATTAATATGATAAACAAATAAATCTTAATGTTCACTCTTAGTCTAGAATAAAAATATCTCAAGAAGTAGTTTCAATTATACCTTTCTTTCCATGGCAGTATCTTTATTTTTATTTATCTTATTTATCTTATAATGCATTCTGTTTGTATATAGAAACCTATATACAAGCATATCTAAGAGATGTTTTGGGTTCCCTTCCAGATTACCTCAATAAAGAGAACATCTCAGTAAAGCAAGTCACACAATTTTTTGGTTTCCTAGTGCATAAAAAGTTATGTTTATGTGATAGTCTAAATGTGCAGTAGAATTATGACTGAAAATACAATCTACATACCTTAAGTAAAAATACTTTATTGCTAAAAAAAAGGCTAACCATCATCTGAGCCTTAAGCAAGTGGTAGTAGTAATATCAAAGAACACTTATTACAGATCACCATAATAAGCATAACAATGATGTAAAAGCAAGAAATATTGCAAAAATTATCAAAATGTGACACAGAGACAGGAGGTGAGCCAGTACTGTTGGAAAAATGGCACTGATAGATTTGCTCAAGGCAGGGCTGTCACAAACCTTTAATTTAACACAGTATCTGCAAAATGCAGTAAAAGTGAAGGGCAATAAAATGAGGTAAAATGTACAGAAGTACTGATTTGATGAAGTCATATCCTCTCAAAAAGTTTTCAAACAAATGTACATTTTTAGAATCATCTTTACCTCTTGTGGAGCATCATTCTGTATAAATTTCTCATATATTGCTTTTGCTTTACGAATTATTTGTTGAGGGTCTTTGCTTTTCTTGAAATCTTCACAGGCTATCCAAAACTCAATGTTTTCCTCACTGAATTCAGTTTTAAGAAATCTGGTAAAAGTCTCCAGTCCATCTACCAAGAAAAGACATGACATATTTTAACTATAAAATATTCATTCTGAGAAAACATATTACTTTATATTAAAGCTTAACCATGACTGTTAGCAGAAGAGGTGTGCTGTCTTCTTTATAATTCAGGGCAGTAGCGCACATCTTGGTCTTCCCTGGTGGCTCAAAGAGTCTGTCTGCAATGCAGAAGACCTGGATTTGGTCCCTGGGTCAGGAAGATCCCCTGGAGAAGGGAATGGCCACCCACTCCAATATTCTTGCCTGGAGAATTCCATGGATAGAGGAACCTGTAGGATCTATGGGGTCACAAAGAGTAGGACAAGACTGAGTGACTAACACTTTCACTTTCTTTGTTACACAGCATACATCTTGTACCATATACATGAGAGTTGTTAGTTGTTCAGTCATGACTGACTGTTTGAGACCCCATGGACTGCAGCACGTCAGGCTTCCCTGTCCTTCACTATCTCCCAGAGTTTGCTCAAACTGTGCATTCAGTCAATGTCCTTCCCTGTCCATTGAGTCAATGTCCTTCCCTATCCTTCACTATATTCCGGAGTTTGCTCAAACATGTCCATTGAGTCAATGGTGCCATCCAACCATTTCTTCTTCTGTCACCCCCTTTTCCTCCTGCCCTCAATCTTTCCCAGCATCAGGGTCTTTTCCAATGATGGACCATATATGAATTAGCTGATTTCTTCATGACTATGAAAAAGAAGTACCGTTTCTGTTGAAATAAGTCCAGTATCATACTTAGACATGAGTAACAGGGATCTTTGGGCTTTCCTGGTGGCTCAGTGGTAAAGAATTGACCTGCCAATGTAGGAGACATGGGTTCATTCCCTGGGTAGGGAAAATTCCCTGGAGAAGGAAATGACTATCCACTCCAGTATTCTTGCCTGGGGATCCCCTGGACAGAGGAGCTCGGTGGGCTATAGCCCATGGGTTTGCAAACAGTCGGACATGACTGAGCATGCACACAGGCTGACACTTATTTCTCTTTCAGCCATACCTCTCCCTGGGCTGTGTGTGGTAAGGTTATTCTATACAGCCAAGGAGCCATTCCAGCTGGAGACCATCACAACTTCTAGACCATGCTTCTTAAATTCAGGGCCTTAGAATTCTCTGTAAAAAAGACTTTGTGTTTACAGGATTTACATAGATCTCTTTGCCAAGTTCATCTACCAAAGGCATCTGATCCAGTGGAATGCACACTCCAAGGCTTGGATGTGGACAGGACTTGAATGTGCATGCTAGGGTGCTCACCCAAATGTGATAGGAGGCATCTCACAGTGTGGCACCAAACCATGGGTGGAAAGTGAAAGAAGGCAGGCTTTGCTATTGGGGTAGAACTGAGAAGAGTATGAGACTCTTAAAATCAAACTTAATCTGCCAAGTATCAAAACAGAAGGATAGAATATCTGCTTTTAAAGGTTTATTAGCCTGATCTATAACTGTGGAGAAGGGGACAACAGAGGATGAGATGGCTGGATGGCATTACCAACTCAATGGACATGAGTTTGAATAAACTCCGGGAGTTGGTGATGGACAGGGAGGCCTGGCATGCTGTGATTCATGGGGTTGCAAAGACTCAGACATGACTGAGCAACTGAACTTAACTATACTGATAACTGTTAAGCATCTAGAAATGTAGTACGGGGCCTCCATTTTCACTTTTGTCCTGAATCCCATGAACATCAGGGGCAAGCAACAAGTCTTATGGAAGACTGCTAGGGTTCAAGTTCTTGTTCAGCTAGTGACTATGTGGGATTGCCTTGTGGCTCAGCTGGTAAAGAATCTGCCTGCAATGCAGGAGACCTGGGTTCGATCCCTGGGTTGGGAAGATCCCCTGGAGAAGGAAAAGGCTACCCACTCCAGTATTCTGGCCTGGAGAATCCCATGAACTACGGTCCATGGGGTCGCAGAGTTGGACACGACTGAATGACTTTCTTATCTTATCTTAGGTGGTGTTGCGTGAATTGCTTTTCCTTTCTGTGACTTGGTTTCTCAGTATTAAAATGAAGATAATGATAGCATCTACCTGATAGAGCTATTTAGAGAATTAAATGTGACAAAATGTGCAAAGTGTGGTTAAAACAGAAACTGACACATAGTAAGTACTCTGAGTTTTGATGGTGATTGTGATAAGGGTATTGATGATCTTGATGATTAAAGTATTTTTAAAGCTCAATTAGGTAAAGTTTCATAGCTGAAACTGTGGCAGACTCAGAATTCAACATTAAGACAACCTGACTTTAAAACTAGTTCTCAAAAAAAAACCCCAAAAAACTAGTTCTCTTTCAATTATTTACAATATTCTAGTCTTTTTGACTTACAGATATTTTTTACATTAAACTTCTTTGAGAAAATTGTACATTTACATGTAGTCATAGAAAATAAAAGAGCCCATGTACCTTTTACCCAGTTTCCACTGATATAACATTTCATAAAACTGTAGTAAAATATCACAAATAGGATAATGATACTGATATAGTTAAGATATAGAATATTTCCATGATTACAAGGATATTTCCTGTTGCTTCTTTACTGTTATACTCACATTTTCCCCATATCCAACCCCTCCTTAAACTTTAGGAATCAATAATCTGTTCTCCATTGTAATAATTTGTTTAATTCAAGGATATGATATAAGAGGAATCAAGCAGTATATATTGCTTGGGGTGGCTTTTTTCATCTACCATGACTCTCTGGAGATGCATCAATATATCAATAATTTCCTCCTTTTCATTGCTGTGTTGTATTCCATGATGTAGATTTGTTTAACCATTACCACTGAACTATTGAAGGCTTTCCTGGTAGCTAAGACAGTAAAGAATCTGCCTGCAGTGCAGAAGACCTGGGTTATATCCCGGGATTGGAAAGATCCCCTAGAGAAGGGAATGGCTACTCACTCCAGTATTCTTGCCTGGAAAATTCCATGGACAGAGGAGGCTGGAAGGGCATACAGTCCATGGGGTCACAAAAAGTTGGACACGACTGAGCAACTGTCACTTTCACTTCCACTTGTCATTGAAGGTTTTAGGGAGCTATTATCAATAATGTTGCTATAAACATATATGTATACATCTTTTAATATAGACATATAAGATTTTATTTCTCTGGGATAAGAGAAGTGAATCTGTTCAGCCATATGGTATTGAAACAGAGAATAGGGCATTCATTGTAGGAGCATTAATAAAATGTTCCTTTTAGATTTTTCAGATAAATTCTCGCAGTGGAATTCACATTTGAGTTGGATACAATTGATTCTTAGTGATCTTTCTTTAGATTTGTTCTCCACTCATTCAATCACTAAGTCATGTCTGTCTCTTTGCAACCCCATGGACTACTGCTCACCAGACTTCCCTGTCCTTCACTATCTCCCAGAGTTTGCTCAAACTCATGTCTGTTGAGTCGATGATGCCATCCAACTGTCTCATCCTCTGTCGCCCCCTTCTCCTCCTACCTTCAATCTTTCCCAGCATCAGAGTCTTTTCCAATGAGTCAACTCTTCACTTCAGGTAGCGAAGTATTGGAGCTTCAGCATCAGTCCTTCCAGTGAATATTCAGGGTTGATTTTCTTTAGGATTGATTGATTTGATCTCCTTGCTATCCAAGGGACTCTTATGTGTCTTCTCCAGCACCACAGTTTGAAAGCATCAATTCTTCAGTGCTCAGACTTTTTAGTGATCCAACTCTCATGTGGTTGTGGCTTCTCTTTCTGCTCTTACAGGTGAGTTATTACAAAAGGAAATTGCAGGAGGCATGAGTTCTGTCTGGATTTCTCACTTGGCAGCATTTGATAATAACAATAATCCTCCTTTTTGAAATATTCTTCTTCCTAGGATTCTAGGACAGCATACCTCCTAACTTTTACCATCCAGTCACTTTAATGTAATTGTCTGCTCTGGCTTAACATTGTTTGTTCCCTGGTTAAATGTGATGTTCACGGGGATTCTTTACAGTCTTCTCCTTTTGTCCCCTCTTTCTATTTCTATTTCCCTTTTTTAGTCTATTCTCCTGTATCTTCCTCTTATAACATTTTCCCTGAAACTCCTTTCCCTCTTACCTTCCTCTGAATTTTATGCATATTGCTGGCACCTACAGGCAAGATAAGGAATTACAAATAATCTTGGAAAACAATAAAGTGTTTTTGAGTTAAATTTCATTTTAACTAGAACAAAATAATTTTAATCTCATCATATAAAATCATTAAAAGAAAGTTTTCTCTTAACCTCAGCTATTTCTCCAGCTACTGATCTATATCTTTCCCCTTGCAAATACAAAGTCTTTTGAGTAAGCTTTATACAGTTGTTGGTCTCTTAATCCCCTCCAGTCATTTACTTCCCTAGACACTAAAGTGTGGTTTCTACTCAACCCTTGGCTTAAATAATTTTTACCAAAATGACTTACTGTTATATTCAGTGGAAAAGTTTCTTTCCAATCCATATATTACTTCATCTCTCTATGTCAGCAGACAAAGATATGTTTATAATTTTTCTATAGCGCTTACACTTTTGAGTTTCTTCTTTTTCCTCTGACTATTGCTTTTCTTCAGAGTCCTTTGGACAGCAAGGAGATCAAACCAGTCATGAGCTAAATGAGTCATGACCCTAAAGGAAATCAACCCTGAATACGCACCAGAAGGACTGATGCTGAAGCTGAAGCTCCAATACCTTAGCCACCTGATGCGAAGAGCAGACTCTTTGGAAAAGACCCTGGGGCTGGGAAAGACTGAGGGCAGGAGGAGAAGAGGACGACAGAGGATGAGATGGTTGGATGGCATCCTCAACTCAATAGACATGAGTTTGAGCCAACTCTGAGAGAGAGTAAAGGACAGGGAAGCCTGGCGTGCTGCAGTCCATGGGTTTGCAGAGTCGGACGTGACTGAGCGACTAAACAACAACAATTGCCTTTCTGAATACTTCTCAATTTATCCTTCTTCATTCTTCCCTTTAATTCTATTTCCAGGACAATTACTTCAACACTTCAAGACAATGAATA